TCTTGTAATGTTAATTTATTCTATATTCTTGCGCTTCTTGATGAAATGAACACGCAACAGGATCCAGCGTGTATATAATTTTGTTATTTTCCACCTTCTTTAGTCTATCATAATCAATTGTCATTATGTAAGGGGTTAAGGTCATCTTTTTTTGACTGGCAATTTATTTCTTGATGAAGTGAACACACAACAAGACCAAGAGTGTATATTTTTCTTTGTTATTTTCAATTTTTTTAATCTGTCATAATTAATATTGATTATGTAAAGGGTTAGAGACCATATTACCACAGACAATTTCTTTATCCTTAACATAACATTAACATTCTCATAACATTACAAGAAATTGTCTGTTAAAAAAATTTGGACCCTAACCCTTTACATAATCATGATTGATTACGACAGACTAAAAAAAAGTAGAAAGTATTTCCTGTTACGGTTCACTACAAAATAGACGAACATGTCTTGGAAAGTATAAATCATTTCCCTTACATTTTCAGGAACATGTTTATTTCTGTGTTCACAATGAATAGTAATCTTATTGTTCCAGAATTTGAAAACCTGTCTCATTTCCTAGTCTTAGAGAGCAAGTACTGAACGACATGAAACAATATCTTTAGGGAGTTTCTAGTTTTCGTATAATAAATAAGTCGTTCTTTCCTGTCGTAGCTTCCATTGGGCGATGTAATCACGAAGTTTCAGCTTTTGATTTAAAAAAAAAGTTCTCTATATTTGAAGACAGGGTCAAGGTGCTCATGAAGATTGCTTGCTATTGCGGAGCGAATGGATGACCCAGTTCCCAACTCGCGTCCGTAAGTGCGTCTCGTCGTTGCATCAGTTAACGTCTCCGCTTAAGAAGATATGCCATTCTGCCCACGCCCATCAAGCGAAGACTTCGCCGAGACGTTCCTTGCCTCTCCCCGGCCAATGCAGCGTGTTTACTCTGGATTTATTATTCTTTTTTCTGGCGGCCATGTGTGTTTAAAAAAAAACAAGGCGACTGCGATGTCTCCAGTTCAGCATTGCCGTTGTCTAGGCAGCGTCCAGGCTTTTTGCGAGTGCCTTAACCAACTTAGTTGATTGATTGATTATATTGATTATAGTGTTTCCGGGGGCATCAACTGATAAGGACATTAGTCCCGTAAGTGTAGTGTATGTTTTAATCGCGGAAGGAGGATGTGATCTTCCCTTGTTAGCAAGATCCGGGACCGGCCCACACAACGGCTTGAAGAGTTTTTCCCAACCAGGTATCTCCTACTGGCGCGGCACCGTCCCAACCGGGAGAAGCTCTAAGCTCCCGACTGGTTTCCCAGCATGCGTGGTAGATTTGTGCTTGTGTGTGGGTGCGTAATCGATAAGGCGAGGAAGAGGAAGGAAAGATCGCGCGCGTGCTGGCCCGTTTTCGTTTGGATGCAGTTCTGGCATTTGCCAGGAGTTGATCGGAGAAATCTCGGAAGACTACCAATCAGAGCAGCCGGCCGCTAGAATTCTCCTCCAGACAGCGGCTGAAATCGACCTAGCTATGTAGCTAGGGTGAAAATCCATACCAGTGACTGGACACAAACCTAGGACCTCCCAGTCGGAGGCCCTGAAGTGACATCAATTGATGCTCTGAGCCATCTCAGCCAGAGAAGCGTCGATGTTCTCCCAGGCGTCGCTCGCGGCTCCCCATCTAACGCAACGTGTTTACTCTGGTTTTATTCGTTTTGGTCCCCTCTCTTAGATATACATCTGTGGAAGAAGCTCCCGCGATGCCCCAGTTGCCGTTGTTTAGGTAGCGCCGAGGCTTCGTGTGAGGATTTGAACCGGCTGGAGACTGGACTGCCTCGTCAGTCAGTTTTCTTACGGATGGCTGAGTGCTACAACTGTTGCTGCTGAAGCCGGGAGGTCCGAGGGTTCGACTTTCCGACGGAGTCGGATTTTCGACACTCGCTAATTTTGTGAATTTCGTAGGCAGGTCGAATTGAGCCCCTGCCTGCCTGCCTGCCTGCCTGCCTGTCTGTCTGTCTGTCTGTCTGCCTGCCTGTCTGTCTGTCTGTCTGTCTGTCTGTCTATCTGTCTATCTGTCTATCTGTCTGCCTGTCTGTCTGCCTGTCTGTCTGAAGGGGAATTCTAGCGGTCGGCTGCTCTGATCGGTAGTTAACCGTGGTTTCTCCGATCAACACTAGGCGGTTGCGTGAGCAGTACATTAACAAACGGGCCACGCACACTTTGTCCTTCCTCTTCCTTTTCCTCCCCTCTCTCTTACGTATACATTGACATTCACGTACACTACAACACACGTCCAGAGCTTACAGATTGTCCCTGCTGGATCGGTGCCCCACTGGGGGAGACACCTGGTTAAGAAAATCCCTCGCAAGCTTACGTGTTGTGTGATAGGTTATAACAAAGGAAAATAAATGTGAAGAGAATGATACACGGTAAAAGTAAATACGAACCTAGTAACAATGGAGGGCAAAAATAAACAAAGGAGTGAAAGATGATAAGATAACTCAAAGAAATGTGAACGTAAACAACACGGAGTAAAATAGAAAACGTTTTGATTAGTGAAATAACGTAAGGACACGTGAGCAAATTGCGTGGGGGGAGACAATAAATTGGTGAAAACATTACATGACCAATCAGAAAATGTCTACTGTTCGAGTGATCGACTGACATGCGCCGAAGAAAGAAGAAGAGAAGAGTTTGAGTACTAGTTCGCGCAGGACGCTGGGACAAATGAAGGGCGCGTAGAATAAACAAACGGGGCAGACGATGCTTGGATCTGGTAGCGATCGAATGCGAGGACGAGAATTCCGATGCTGTGATGTTAGAAGCAGACGTAAAATATAATTTTCACACGATAGTTTGGAACGCGGGTGATAAAGTACTGAGTTTGTAATGAGGTTATGATAAGTATTTGATAGGAAAGTTCGGAGTTAATATGAAAATACACATTAGTTTATAGAAGCTGGACTGATTGATGTGGACTAAGACAACTAAATGGAAATGGAACGAATCAGGTCAAGAATGCAACCATTCTACGAAACGGAAGTAAACCAATTGGGAACATTTTGTTTAATTTTACCAGTGTAGGAAGATCAAGTTCTGTCCCAAAAATAAGATTTAATTTAATATTCAAAGGGGTAGATAGCCATGCATGCATTAAGGGAGAGAAGACAAAAGCATAATATACAAGCAACCATGAGGAATCCTGTGATAATGTCATGTTGATATTTGTTTACAGTTGGGACTTTGTACGCGTATATGTTTTTTGTAGAATACAATATTATCTGTTCTTCCACAGAAGTAACTATCTACAGCTCGAAAAATTAATTTATACCGAGGGAAAAATAATTTCTGTCCCGAGGTGTTTATGCAATATTTTAACGATCATAATTGTTTCAGAAAATATATTGAAAACATTATGTTAAGGAATTTAAATTCGTGATTCGTGAATAGGGTTTGTTAACAACGAAACTGTCAATAAACAACTAAGCGTTTAATGGAGGCCATGGATGAAAATAAATGAATATATGACGTAGCTAATAAAACTATTAAAAATCTAATGCCAAACAGTCCAAGTGAAGGCATGATACAGCGAATTTGAAGATGGTGTAAAGATAAAGAAATAGTAAATATAGTAAGTGAGAACGTCTTGGTGTATTTCGACCAAGAAATACAAATCACTTGTCTTTCATGTTATGTTCAAATACATTCATTTTTACTCAGGTGTGTTGTTTTCATTGTCGTAAACGACGTTTTCATTGTCGAACAAAGATGATGTTTCTCTTCAGCCCTTCATTAGCTAACAATAAAATTCCTCTTTCCTCCTAGCCGTGAAAAAAAAACAACTATTGTAATGAAGCGAAAATACCACTTTTTCGACCGAAAAATAGTACCTTTCTTGTACAAACATATACGTAGTAAATTCTTGAATACGCACTGAAGTGAGGATCCAAGTTTTGGGTGTCCTTGATATCAAAAACATTTTTTGGTAAAAGTGGTGGCGTATGGTGAATGCCATTTTCATTAAAACATGTTTAATTAAACAAAATAGATATGAACTTTGTATTAACGTCTCCGTTTATTTGGAAGCGTTTGAAACGATGGCTGATATTTCAGTAGAATATTATAATACGTAAACATTACCAATAATACGAGTAAGTATGTTCCGTTGTAGAACCTCAAGTTTATAATTGAACTCAGTTGATTGAAAACAATAACCGCCTATTGATCGTATCACATTTCCAGAGAGTATTTCCATTGGTCGAATCTATTGATCGAGCCGGCACCGAGAAGGGACAGCCAACAAAACATGGATGTTTCTAAATAAAATATCAACTCAAAACCATCGAAGTTTTTAAACATCGATGTTTTTAAAACTGAATTAGTAACTATTGAAGTTCACGCGGTAGTAATTTAATTTGAAAGTGATATCGTTTATTAATATTAATTGAGATTTAACTTACAAAATACAGTCAAACATCTTCAGAACACTTAACGAAAGTTGCATTAAATGACGCGATATTTTAAAAATAATATGGCTCCTTTATTGTCGAAAACTTGATTTTATTTATTTTTTACCCTTGGTCACATTACTCTAAAGAATATTCAATATATGGATATCTAAAAATTATAAGAAACTTTTGTTATAATGTACTTGTTTCATTTAAAAAATATTGAGCACGTGCAATATCGAACACAATGTTAAAAAAGCATCGGCTTCAAAACATTGACGTTAAATACATGGATGGTTGTATAAAATCATTGATGTGAAAACTTTGACAACAAAGCATTGATGTTTCTAAACATCGAAGCTCAAAATTAGTACATTGATGTTAACAAAACATCGACTCAAAACTGTGTAAGTTATTAAACAACGATGTTTTAAAAATAAGTAAAGATAAGTAAACAGGGTAAAAAGTCACAAAGATAAGTACAAAACTTTGATTTTATGATTCGAAAATTCAAAAATAATACATGTTTTTTTAAAGAAAACTCTACTTTATTTATTTTTTACTCTTCGTCACTTTGGTCTGAAATCTATTCAATTTATGGATATCTGAAAATTATTACAGAATTTTGATAAGTTGCAATTTTTCTCATTTCAAAAACATCGAACACGCCACATCGATGTTTAAAAGCAGCGACTTCAAAAAGGCTAAAACACACGGATGGTTTATAAAAAAACATTTATGCTTTGAAAGCGTCCACAGCGATGACGCATCCCCGGCTACGAGCACGCCCCACGCGGCCCTTGCCCACACTTTGCTCACCCCTCGCTGCCCGAGGAATGCGTGAGATATGAGTCGGACCAGTTTTTTAATAGCAACGCTCCTCCAGCCACTGCGTTACACACGTATCTGGTGGCATCCTCCAGCCCGGGCTGCGGTGGTAGTGGGTGCCAGCTGGTCGACCCGTCGGTCACCGACGAGTCGACTGCATTGCTGGGTGCTGTGTACGGCGTTCGCTGCCGCGTAGGAATGTTGAAATGCAAGCGTCGAAACGTCCCGGAAACAAGTTTCCCTTCTCTCGGCCGCTCGCGGCCGCAAGTCGACGCCTGCGGTGCGGTGTGGCGTGGTGTCCGTGGTGACTTCAGAACCGCCGCGCCCACCGTCGCGAACGCGCAGTTTGTGTAGGTGGGGACGTGGATTCGTGCGAGTGAACGCGCGGTTCGTCCGGGTGCGGCGATTAGTGGGCTCCTCGAAATACGCGAGTGAGTTGAAGTGCGCACAAGTGAAAGCTGAAATCTGTGACGATGAGTTCGTATTCCAAAAAGTTTTGTTACTGTGATGTGAAGGTGGCCGCACTCTGTGTGGCCATTTACAAAGTGGTGAGTGTGGTTTCTGTTCTTTGTTGTGGCGCTCGGTCGTGGGTAATGATTATGTTGTGTTTACGACAGTGCGTGTAACGGAAATGCAACTGGGGTTGATGTTAATGACGGTGGCATGACATTCTCATATCAGCGAATGTTTAAGAACACCTCACTTGAGTTTTGAGAAATGTTTTCTTGCTTTGGATCTAAAGATTGTACAAAAATTCAAAACAACAAGGCATTTAATAATAATAATAATAATAATAATAATAATAATAATAATAATTAATCATTACGTTTTTTGATAATTAAAGTTTTTAATTCAGATACATAGAAGCAAAAATGTCATCAACCACTAATGTAACATAAACAGTAGCATATCGTGTCCCTGAAGTTATTTTCTAAAACGTACAATACGATAAAATACTAGTTCGGAGAATTATCAAACGAGGTCGATTTTGATAACTAATGGAGAATTGTCTAATACAAAATTAATATCACATTGATGTTCATAGAAGTTGATAGGAAGTCATAGATAATTGGAATATTTAAGACATTCGCCTAGTTTCGTAAAGGATGTATCAGGGGAATGAAACAAGCTAAAATAATTTATTTCACAAAATTGATTGTTTGCGTACCAATAAAAACCAAAAATTATAACTGTTTCTATTGTTTCTTATAGTACACAAATATTTTCCCGACGAAATTTCATAGCTAATGCAATATTTTTAATAAAATGTTAATTTATTTACATCTCTTTGTTAACAATTTTTGTAAAACTATTAAACTTGTTCTATTTGAGCAATACTGTAAAATATTCATTCCATTTTATTGGTTTTACATTTAATCATGTTACGTTAAATACTGGAGAGTAAATTTATTTCATGACAATTAATTTGGGCTCCTAATGTCTTTTCGGATGTTATCATTCGTGAATAAAATCTTTTTTCCTCTTGTGCCATAATTTAGTATACTAAATGAAATGCCTTGTACTTATTTTCACTAGTAAACAATATAATATAATATTTTTGCTTATTGGAGAGTGAAGAAAACACGATTTGTACTTCGTCTAACTTTCATTTGTGAGCAAAATTTTACTTGATACTTTAAGTGTTTCTATTTTATACTATTTTTTCATATATATTTTCTATTTTAGTTCGCTTGTTGAGGGATCGATGTAAAACATTTAATCTTTACAACTGAATAATAGAAATGTCAAATTTATATATGTTTTACCTCCCTCCTACTACTACTCAATTCTGTTCTATTTTACAGTTATTTACTCTTGCAAGTTTGATAGCATCTGCAGTTGGAGCATATGTTTACAGCGGTAAGCATTTTTTTTAGATCTTTGTAATATACTTTCCATATTATTTTATGTTTAAGTGTTAAGATATTACTGTTACATTCTTTTCACCCCCAAAAAATTGCGTTCTTCGAAGAAAATTTACCCATTCCGTTTTGTTGGAAATCGCATAAAAATGCATCGTAAAGGTAGATTAGAAAATGAAATAAAATCTTAACCAGTTGCAATGGTTAGCAATAATTACGTATAGTCAACAATTTTAAGTAACTGTAATACGTTTTATAGTTCACTAATTTTTTACTATTTATGGCTCTGAAACTGAACATAATTGGGGCCCTTAACCCTTGTGGGCCTTTCCTATACTTTATGCCCACGCGGGCCTTTTGAATATATTATGCCCGCTACCAAAGCAGCAAATAACACTTGATTTTTTAAATCAATTTATTAAACTTTGGAAACTACAATAATTAAATGTCGACGTAATTTAAATATTTTTGTTTAATATTAAAATTGCAATTTTGAAATGTTTTAGTGAATGTAATGTTTTCTATTTTTATTTCTACTCAACTGTTACGGGTTATATTTTCTTTCACAGTCACAGAGGCTTGTTGTGTTGTAGTGTTAGTACTAGTAGCAGTAGATGTAGACGGCACGCCGGCCAGCATCCATGAAATGTTATATTTTTAATCTTCCAAATAGTAGCTTCTCAATAGTAGCTTCTCAATAGTAGCTTCTCAATAGTAGCTTCTCCAATAGTAGCTTCTCAATAGTAGCTTCCTCAATAGTAGCTCTCAATAGTAGCTTCTCAATAGTAGCTTCTCAATAGTAGCTTCTCAATAGTAGCTTCTCAATAGTAGCTTCTCAATAGTAGCTTCTCAAATAGTAGCTTCTCAATAGTAGCTTCCAATAGTAGCTTCTCATAGTAGCTTCTCAATAGTAGCTTCTCAATAGTAGCTTCTCAATAGTAGCTTTCTCAATAGTAGCTTCTCAATAGTAGCTTCTCAATAGTAGCTTCTCCAATAGTAGCTTCTCAATAGTAGTTCTCAATAGTAGCTTCTCAATAGTAGCTTCTCAATAGTAGCTTCTCAATTAGTAGCTTCTCAATAGTAGCTTCTCAATAGTAGCTTCTCAATAGTAGCTTCTCAATAGTAGCTTCTCAATAGAGTAAGCTTCTCAATAGTAGCTTCTTTCAATAGTAGCTTCTCAATAGTAGCTCTCAATAGTAGCTTCTCAATAGTAGCTTCTCAATAGTAGCTTCTCATAGTAGCTTCTCATAGTAGCTTCTCAATAGTAGCTTCTTCAATAGTAGCTTCTCAATAGTAGCTTCTCAATAGTAGCTTCTCAATATAGTAGCTTCTCAATAGTAGCTTCTCCAATAGTAGTAAATCTTCCAAATAGTAGCTTTCCGTAATCCGCCCTCTTCCATCCACCATGCCGTTTTAACAAGGTTATATTCGCTCCCGCATCTGCCCGAAAGGTGCTCGAAACGAAGAGCAACCTTCACCGTTTAAATACGTTTCGTTAGGATAATTATTGATAAGTTGAATATCTCCTCTCTGATTAGAACTTCACATTTTCTTTTAAGGTTTTGATTGCTTCTTTAAAAACTCTGTTAAATTATGATACTAGCCAATATTAACATTTTTAATTATTCATAAATTCTTATTAATCATTGAATACTTATATCACAGTGAGGAGGCTGAAAAGGATTTTCACAAATCTTCAAAATAACCCAAAACTGCCTATTTCATTCACAAAAGTCACGCTATTGTTTTCCATCCATCTTTCGAATACACGATACTTCTTTTCATTCACTTCACGAGATTTCATTGGCACTTGACAGTCGATGGCCTTGTTGGCTTTTTCCAAATTTCCGCCGGAATTTCACGATCTTCTTCCATCTTGAACTAAGATACCTATCCAACTCCAAGAATTCATTAGTATTACTCGCGCAACTTTTCTTGAACGATGGATTGAAGAAATGCGGGTAGAGTGGGGGTATTAGTTACGAAATCGGCCACCAGATTTTATGAAGCAATGCCAATCTCTGGAGAATCAGTCATGCCTTCGCAACTGTCTCAATAATTTGCGTTCTAATTTTCTCAGGAGTTCCAGGTATTTCCTGTATTAAATCTTCACCTGCTTTGGTCATTTATTGAAATTTTTTGAAGAAAATCACGGTCAGAAGTTCTTATCTTCAACGGAAAATAGTTTTCATTTCGCGCCAGTGAAGATGTCTTTGCAATGTTGTCATCAGTGCACGCTGCGAGCTTTTGTCTTCAACTGTTTGTGTCAGAGAGGGAGAAGCAAGGTCATCGTTCAAGAAAAGTTGCGCGAGTAATAATGAGATACACACACACTGTTTTGTTTCTCTGTGTCATTGGTAACCGTCGATTACAATGTGCCATTTCATGACATCTTTAAAGATCATGACCTAGTAAAACATAAATGTTTGCACGTGACATGGACGCTACTTGATTTTTTTTTTTTTTTTTTTTGCCCGTGAAGCAACTTCCAACACCGAGTCAGAAGCCCTCAGGTTTGGAAGTCGCCCTTGCGGCACAAACGTCTACTTCACGCATTCGGTATATAAATAACTACTTTATCTTCTTAAAACAAAGAGAGAATAACTATGATCATTTATTATAAATATTATTATTATAATTAAATAAAATATGTGGCATATGTATTTTATTCAAGATTCAGTGGATCGGAAATCAGATGATTTTCCTTAATTTTCGATACGAACTAGTTATATTTTAGGAAACATAGATAACATTGTTTCATTATGCATTATTTGCAAAAGTGATTTTGTTAATTGCGGTAGTCTACTTAGAATTTCTTTGTATTGTTTTCGTTCGTATATTCTTTGGCTTATCTGCACACTTTATTTTATTTAACAAAAATGTAGGGTTATAATTCATTTGCTGCACCATTAACTTGAATTGATATTTGTATGTGAAAGTACAATAGTGCATACTATTGTGATGTTTCACTTTAGAAAACGCCAGGAACTAGCCACTTGTGTACATTTGGCAAATAGTCTCTTTGTGGTTTGGTACATTTGGCCCGAAGTCTGCTTCTGGTTTGTTATTGACAAGTCAGTACCAGCTTTTGTTTTACAAAAGAAAGATTTAAAAAAAAAAGAATATCGAAATTTTAAGATACCTCTTAACGTAACGCGAGTTTCCAATGCTATTAGATTTGTTGATAGCTAAAAGCAGCTGCAAAGAGAAAAAATGATAAAGTTCTTTCATATTTTTCATGTTTAATTGATTTGAATTTTTCGTGTTTAATAATCTCAAATATCTCACATTAATCGAATCAAAAGTTGTCGTTTAGATCACTCCATTGAAGTACCAAAATAGCCTAGTAAAAAATCTACTTTTATGTGCACCCTACTTTTAATTTACCAATGTGTTCTCTGTTTCATTTTTATTGTTCTGCATAATTCACATAATAACGAACTTCGGGTAATGTTCCTTTGTGCTCGACGCATGAACTGTTTGAGGTGACTCAGAGCACCAATTGGTGTCACTGCAGTGCCTCTGGCCAGGAAGTCCTCGGTCACGAGTTCCATTGTTTTATAAACTACCTATTTAGTCCAGACAATTGGTGCTCAAAAGGGCCCGATCCAGGTAAAAATTCCGGAAGTTTTTTTCCCTCAACGGTTCTATGTGTTTTTGAGTGTTCTGAATTCAAATTTGATGTTTGAACCTTCTAAAAAGGCCGGCTACACAGTGAAAATTGCAAAGAATCCTAAAAATTTCGCCCTGTTTTTTAGTTTTTCTCTTATATCTTCAAAACTATGCCTTTAACAAAACAATTGTTACGTATAAAATTAAAATAGATAAAATTTCCTATAAAATGCATTCATGAACTTTGAATTTCTGAAAAACGGTTTAGGCGGTAGAGCGCGATGAAAAAGTTACTTTTGAGCCTGTGGGCAAAGCGGGAGAATAGGTCTTTCCAGCCATTCTATCTCACGGCGGGGCACTAGTTTCATTTTATCATTTTTGAAACCAGCTTTTGTGAACAAATAACTGGCATTGTTAAAAGATTAACACTCCGATACTCATATAATCAGTAAGGACGTATTTCATCGTGCGGAGTATCTGTAAATCCTTGAAACATGCAACATAAGGTTACGTGCTTAACTATTTTTGGTCGAAGAAGAAAATCCTCTTCAATCACTTTTATCAATTCTTCAATGGAAAAATAAAAATAGATTGCATCGCTGACTCTACATCATCTCTGGAAGGTAGGTTCCTGTCTTCTTTGGGGGCTGATGAATTCTTTCATGCACATCAAATAAGCTTGTGCCTCAGCAGCTAACAAGTTTCTTACTATGTTTACGCAATGTACTGTATAACGTCAAAAATCAATAAGGTTTCTCGCGAGTCTTAAAACAGTTTCTCAAACAGCTAATTTCCTCACGGGATATACTAAATTTCGTTTTGCTTTTTGATTTGTCTCTCAAAGTCTCGTAGTTTTTCCTCCTCCACAAATAAAACATTGAGTTTTGAAGACAAAATCGGGTATATGGGAACGTAGTTGAAGTGATTCAACGTCTTTTTCAGCTCTGTTCACGTAAGCAGAAATCAATTTTTCGTTTCCGTGTTGCCTCCTATACTACACGCGCAAGTTTTCTTGATATTCCCAGCGGGGGGTGCGGGGAGAGGAGCGCTCTGGTTACGTCACTGCTTATAAGGGCGTACCAACTGTGGCCATGAACATAGCTCGCCAAAGCTCGCGACGAGAAATGCTACGATTATTTTGAAAGTAAGAGTTGGTTGTTGCCAGCATTGTAAATTGGTACGTACCGTTCCGAGTCGAACCTACATATCTCAAAGTACCGTGCTATTCAGCGTTGGGTGAGGACTAGGGTGCTTGTGTATCAAGAAAACTTGCACGAGTAATACTTACCGTGCTCTTCAATTATTGTTGAGGTACATTTAAATGAAAAACGTAAATAAAACTTAACCCTCCGTCTCGCTTGGCCTTCAACAAAATATTCCAACACC